TTTTTTGAGAAAAAAAAAAAAATATAAGAGAGAGAGATATATATATATATATATATATATATATATATATATATGTTTATAATGATGGATGGATCGAGAGCTGGTTTACGGCCAATGGCAATCCGACACCTGGTGGCTGATTCGGAGGTCGGCGTGGTGGTAGCCCAAAACTGGCCTGGCCGCTCAGTTCTCATAGGGCAAAAGCAACATAACAAGGTCAACGCTTTCCCTCACCCCGAAGGGCCCGAACCATAGATGACGTCATCTTCCACGTCATCCTCAGCTCCCGGTGGGTCCCCTCCCTTCTCAGGTCTCATCCCTTTCAAGCGTTCTCACTCCTCTCGACTTTCTGCATTTAAGTAGTTATAACCCCCCCAACTCTCTACCCATCTCCATCATTCAGAAGTATAGTTTTGTATAATTGCCTTGCAATTCGCTCTCTCTAATTACCCCACGCGCCATGTACGGATACGACACCACCGCATTCTCACGCGCCGCCGACCCCCTCGGCGACGAGTACTCGCAGTATCCGGTACCGGTCCTGCAAGCTCCGCCGCCTCTGATGTTTCAGCCTCATGACTTGCCTTTCCTGCAGCCTCATCATCATGAGCAGCTGGCGGTTGCGGTGGAGGTGGACTCGTTGGCGCTGCTGAGCTCGGAGGCTGGGAGCAGCAGCGCGTGCAGCAGCTACAGCTCGCCGAGTTCAGTCGGCTGGTCTGCTGATCAGGGAACGAGCCTAATTCAGCGGAGCGTGAGCAGCCACTCGCTCCAGAAGAATGGGGCCCACCGGGTCCTCTCGTCGGTGTCCGAGCTGCTCGACTCGGCCGAGACCAGCCCCGTGAGGAGGGTCTACAGCACCGGGGACTTGCAGGTAAGATGACCTAAACTATATATACAATTCACTAATTGATTTCCAGTTCCTAATTACAACTTTGTTCTCTCAATCATGCAAATATTATGGAAGTACGTACTCGCCTAATTATGGTTAAGTGCAGCGCGTACTGATTATTACAAGATACTCACATGCAATTTTTTTTGGTACACTTGGAAAAAAATTTTGCACCTGAGACTAGTTATGTGTGCACGTATATATATATATATATATATAGCATGTGTTAAATTAAAATAAGTGGTTAATTGAGTTAATAAATATATGATGGTCTGACAATTTATATATTAATGCGTATACTGGCAGAGAATTAACATGGTGCAACATAGTTATCGATCAGAAAGTCCATTATCGAGCGAGAGCAGCGCCATCATCGAAGGCATGAGCAGAGCCTGTCGTTACAGTCAGGAGGAGAAAAGGGAGAGAATTGAGAGGTATAGAAGCAAGAGAAACCAGAGGAACTTCAACAAGAAGATTAAGGTTTATTTTTCTTTTTTTCTTTTTATTTTATTTTTCCCTATGATTGATCATTCTTTTCTTCCGTATATTTCTATTTCACCTCTTTATTCTATATAATGCCGGAATTTTTTTTTTATTTTTTTTTTATATTTTTTCATAGACGTGCACTCATATTTTTGTGCTTTGAGACTTACAAATACAGTTATATAACTGTACATATATTGAATGATAATTCTATTGAAATAATTATAGATATGAATGATAAGAGCTGGTAATTTAATTGTGAACTAACTATACATGACTTTCAGTTAGAAACTGATTCAAATTGTGATCATGTAACATATAGTAGAATATTTCTGTCATGGGTTTTAGTCAAATAAATATAATTGGTTTAGCGGCTGATTCAGCGCCAAAGAGCCAATTTTAAGCCAATAAAATGAGCTCATATGTCACGCCTTCACTTATGGTTTAGTGCGCATACTATGAGAGCCGCAATTACTTACATATATATATATATATGTATATATATGAAAGAGGAATACTCAATACTAAAGCCAAATACAGTTTTTCTCACTATATATTTCAAATTTTGTGGACCTTCTCCATATGTACAAGTTCATTTTCTACTGATCACATGACTAATTTTTGTTTTTTTGTGTATGCGAGTTCCATTGTCAAAATCACTCACTCAAATCTTATTTTTCTGGATATTTGCAATTTCTACTTTAAGTGTATACTTCCCCATGTAACGATTTGTTAACTTCTTAGAAATACTAAGAAAAGGCGAAGGAGCCCACCATTAGGCAGTAATCAATTTATACTGCATATTTATTTATCAAATTTAAGTAGCAATACATGCATTTTATCCCTTGTTAATTTATAACTTTTGTGTGTGTGTTTTTTTTTTTTTTTGGTGAATTGAGGCTTCTATATATATATAAACATTATTATTAAAATTGAAGTACTTCTCCAATTTCAGTATGCTTGTAGGAAAACATTGGCAGACAGTCGACCGCGCATAAGAGGACGATTTGCAAGGAACGAAGAAATTGATCAGAAGAGTTCTCAAGCTCAGTGGAGCCACATTAATGGTGGAGAGGAAGACGAGGACGACGACGAAAATTGGATCAACTTTCTGGATGCTCTCTCTTCAAACCTAATTCCTTAATCTAGCTAGCTAGTCAAGGAATACTAATTTAAGTTAGCGTCCCTGCATGCTAATTTTAGCAGTCATATGTATCATATAAGTTTTAGTCTGCTGTTATTGTTGGGCTTGTATAATGCACTTTAAGCAATGTGTTTAATTAGCTTAAAGTTGGTGATGATCATTTGTATATATAGCTGATTGTATAAATATTTCAACCACAATGTGGATTTCAATGGATTTCAAGTCTCCTATTTAAGGGTGAAGATATTTTATTAGGCAATTAATTATATGTGACGAAACGTACACACACACATATATACATATATAGAAGAGTTTTCAATGGTACGTTTCTATTGATGGTTATCACTAACTATAAAAATTGATGACGTGACGTGATAAGAATCTAATTTCATTAATTGCCATAAAATTTTTTAGTCAACTGTTTAATTTATTATGACCGTCAGATTAATATCTTATGGTTAAAATAAATCACTTAATGAGTAAATATTAGAGTAACCATTAAAACTATACCTATATATATATATATATATTATACATAAACATGGCGTTTTAACATATATATACACCTCAAACTTGTTAGTGTCTTCTTCTATTGGATTCTAATCATGGAGTCAACAAAGAGAGAAAGATAGGTTATTTCACATCACAATATATAAAGTATTGGATGCAGATATATATTAAAGAGCTTTTAGTTAAAGTTTATCCGATAACTTTATGATTTGAAAAAGATGAAAACCGAAGTCCCCATCGTTGAGAAAGGAAAGAGGGGCCAGCGAAAAGAGTAAACTTAATGGCGATATGGTGATGGTCACCATCTCCAAAATTCTAGAAGAGTAAAAATTGTGATAACGAGGAATTTTATGCAGTGTTCTAAAGTGCTCAACATTAATTGGACCTTTCCCATTATTTTACTAATTTCCCTAGCTATATATATACTAACTCTATGGTACCAAATTTATTTAAAACTTTATAAGAAAGGCCTACTTTGTTAAGTTCTATGGTCTTTGGTATAAGGCGCTACTGCTAGCTTATAGTAGTAGTTGAGGGCGATCTGTCGAGCTAAAAGCTATTTACACTATTGAAAAAGGGAGATTCGTTATTTCAAGTTTTTGGCTATGTGAAGAGGATCAAACTAATCCACGCACATACATATAATATATATATATATATATACACACACACACGCACACACATATATATTAATGGTGAACCCATTTTGGTTGCAAGGATAGGGTTCGCTTGTGATGGTGCTCAGGAGAGATAAGAATTGTTGGAAGAGAAGGAAGACATGGACAGGCACACGCCCTAGCTAATGTTGCCTATCAAATCATGCATCTAAATCTCATGTAATATTGTTTGGTAGTGAGAAGTTATTCACGATCAGTTATTTTACCATATGCAAGTTTTGCGGCACAAAGTTCATTATCACGCACTATAGCTAGTTGCCTTAACACTTAAAAAAAAAAAAAAAAAAAAAAAAAAAAAAAAACCCCTTAAAAAAAAAAAAAAAAAAAAAAAAAAAAAAACCCCTTATAGAAAGATAAAAAGTAGTCCTCCTGGATCACTGTTTTTTTCAGTTTGATGTCATCTCAATCAACCTATCATTAATCAAAAGTAAAGAAAAGTTAAAAGTGTTTAGCCTGTTGCAAAAAAAATTGATAATCAAAGAAGTGAAATGAATGGCATGCATGATTATCACTACCATTTACTATAAAGCGTTTTTATTTTTTATTTCTTATATTTACGAAATGACTATAAAGTGGTTGATTAACATTAATGTTCACGAATGATGGCTTGGAAAATAAGGTGGAGCACCAAGTTATGTACTTTTTTGGTTGTGCCCAAGTTCATGTACTTTAAGTAGACCCTATGCTTCCTCTTAATGCCATACCTATAAGCACGATAAATCATTTCACTCTTTTTCCTAAATCTGTGTACCTTATGTTGCTCTCATAAGAAAATCATTACAGTACAAAATATAGTAAAGTAGAAAACGAAACATCACATGTTGGACATATAGAAAGAAATTGTTTGAATATTTCAACTAGTTTTGTTCTTGAATAGAAATATCCAACTTAAATTCTAAAGGCCAAAAAGTTCTCATTCCTACTTTCTATATGGGATGTTAGTCTAGAGTATTCTTTTTGGGCATTCTTTCTTGCTATTTTTTTTTTTAAAAGGGAATACTTTATTGATTACAAGTGAGATGAATTCCTTCCTCAGTTCGAATAACTCATCCGAATTCTAATCCTTTGGGCATATATATATGGAATCAAATATCATGAATACTCTCAACCAGCGTGGAGCTTGTTGACCATATCCTGTATCCTCAAGCTCTATCTTCTCATGAGAAGGGTGTAGGATTCCTCAAAGAAATTACAACAGATAAAAGAGACACACTCAAACTCCTTAAATGTCTATTTGAACTGTATTCGAAAATCTACGCCAACACTACTCGTTTATTCTCTTATGAATTTGTCGCACTTAACGGATAGGTTAGGCACTTCTTTGAGGTTTAAACCACCTAAACTCACCCCTAATTTTAAGTAAGCAAAACGAGCTAAATAGCTTCTTTTTTTTCTGAAATTTAGAGTTGTTCATTTGCACCCAAACTCAAAAAACGTTTAAACTTAAGTTACAACTTTATTAATGTTCATGTTCTTTTGTAAAATTTGAGTTTAAACCTGAGTTTTAACTTAAATTTAGGGTTAAAATTTGAGTTTAGGTTAAAATCTGCGTTCACAACGAAAAGATAAATAAAACCCCACTCATATACCTTATTAAAATTTTCCATCACCATTGAGTTTTTATTAAAATACTATCCAAAGACAAATTCAAGTTTTGACCCGCTCAAACATAAGCTCAAATAGATTCTTAATTCAAACCATAATTCAAAATGTGCACATCTAAACACAAACTCAAATTAGAGTCTCAACTCAAACCATACTCAAATACACCTTAACTCAAATCAAAAGTTATATTTTTGGAAAAATGGGCTATCTCCAATACCTTCTCTTCTAATTACTAAATTACATATGCTTCTGCATCATTCTCCCCTGTTTGGAAGAAAATGCCCTCTCTTAAGAGCTCATCGATGTAGGAGTTGACGTAACCATTCATTTTAAAAGTTGCAACAAATAAGGGAGGCCCAAGCAAACTCTTTAAACTCTATTTAGAACTAGACGGAATCCACTTCAATTACACTACTCATTCGGTCCATTATATTAGTCTCTTAAGGATTTGTGGCCAACGAACAGACAATTCTTTGAGGGAAAACCACACAGCCCACCCAAAGTTAAAATATGCTCATGCATAAGAAGAGACTACTAGAGAGTATGTGAATTAAACAACTGTCTCTTTCTATAATAATGTATACCAAACACACTCTGTTTATTTGATTGATTTAAGTTTTACTACAGTATTCTCAGAAATAATCACATCTAACTTTTTTGTTACAGTAAAAAATTCTCATATAAAATCACATCTCAACTTGAATTAAAAACTCAACTCAGTGAACTAAACAGCTATAAAAATGAGATTATTCAGATAGTATTATATACGAAGGCTTAACTTCTGACAAAAAAAAAAAAAAGAAGAAAAGAAACGATACACTTAATTGCAAGTAGCATCTTCCATCTTCAGACTCGCTCATATCTCAACTTTAATTATAGGCAAAGCCAATATTGTGACCAATGCAAATTTAATAATATTAATTCATTAATCTCTTTACTCTCTACTCGGTCGGTCACATGTTACTTTAATCATGAGAAAATTAGAGGGGATTTGTTGTCTTTAATCAAAAGCTAACTATATGTTCTCCGTTGTTTAATCAAAGGCTATGTTCACTAAGGCTTATTAGGAGAACGGCCCTCTCGATATTTTGTCGGCCGGCAGTGTGTTACCCACTAAGTGTATGTCTTGATTTCATTAATGACACAAAAATCTTAACAAAGCCACCGTATTTTAAATCTAGTAAGGCTCCAAAAGCCTGGTAGAAAAGCTGAAATATTGTAGACCACTTTGGAAAATACCACTGTGGTTTGTGGACCCCAGAATCGTAGAACACTTATCTTTTGGGGCGGTTAACTTTTGAAGCATATCAGTGTTGGGAGTGAACTATTGGGATCGGGTTTTGAACTTTAGACTTTGACATTAAAATTAAGAGTTAAATATATAATTACTACTAGACTAATCCTGCAATCATTCAAAGAAAGCATATATATATATATATATATATATATATATTTTAAATGTTCACGGGCAATATTTTTCATACCACCAGAAAAGGAAAGCATTATATCATTGTTCGTCCAGTGCAAAATAAGGTGTGGGTACCCAGAAGAGAAAAAAAAAAAAAGGAAAAAGAAAAAACAAACTTTGTGGATTCGAGTTATTGCGTTTTTTATTTTGTCCAAAAGCATTGCTTAATAAGTGTAATTAATAAGCTCCCCAATCCCTATGGAACCCCCACTAGTTTGGAAAAGAGAAGAGTACATGGACTTAGTTTGGTATTGTTTTTTTCTTCTAAAATCAACTTCTACTTGTAGTAGAAGTTGATTTTAGTATTTAAAAAATCTCCACAAAAGTATTTTTTTAAATTTTTTTTAAGAATCTATAGTCAAAATTAGAAACAGTCTAAAGACAACTTTAGCTTTTATAGATTGTACATGAATCAACATAGTATAATTAATGAAACTTTCATAATACTTATAATACCCCTAATAAAATTTAAAATTTACAATCTTCTCAAATTAAAATTCAAAATCGTAATCTAATATAATATAATATAATATTGCAACAAATAATATCATAATTATATTAATAACTATAATAATATTATTTTATCATATAATATGATATTATAATTATTTTAATAATATGATATTATAATTATAATATAAGTATAATATGATATTATAATTATTATTTTATAATAATATTATATATTAAATTATATTGATATAATTATATTTATTATAATAATAATATAATAATTAATATAATTAAATATGAATATAATCTTATAATTCTAATATTATTATATAGTTGTAATTTTTAATTATATTATAATTGAAATATTAATATTTCTTATGTAATATTATAATATGTTTTATAATATTGTAATTATATTAACCATTTTAATAATATTATTATATTATATATCATAGTTATATATATAATATGTTATTTAATAATAGTTCTATTGTATTATATTAAATATAATAATAAATATACATTATATTGTAATTATATATATTATAGTATAGTATAATATAATATAATATTTATTTTTAATTATTTCAGTTATTATTTTAATAATATTATTATATTCTATATAATAATTATATAATATATTATATAATAATAGTTTTTTGTATTATATTAAATATAGAATAATAAATATATATTATAGTGTAATTATATATATTATATTATAGTATAATATAATATAGTCGTATATTTTAACTATGCACAGCAATTTAATTTATCAAACATTATTACACTGATTTTGAAACCAGCACACCTACTATAATTATAGTTTACTAAACACTCAACTGTTTTTTATAACAGTTGTTTTTTCTTTCAGCACAATGAAAAGCAATTTTTTCAAAATCTACAATACTACTAAACTAAGCCATGGTTTGATGATGATTGTGGTTGTTGATTACGGCTTTGCCACCAGTTCATCTAAGCAAATCATTCTTCCTTCTTATTGTGGAATCAAATTTTTTTTTTTTTTAATACAATGTGGAATCAAACTCTCTTTTCTTTTATATGCAATTTGACCTATTGATCATTAGCAATCAAATCCTTCTTTTGAGATGTCAACATTGTTCCATAAAGAATGATTTCATTAAAAAAAAAAAAAAAAAAAAAAAAAAGTCACTGAGTATATCTGTAACGGATATATACTGGCATGCAGATGGACAGCATTGGTGTATGTGTTTGTTATGTCTAGTCCTATTCATCTTCTCGACAACTAGATAACAAGTTTCTCAGAAGTTAAAAGTTCAAATTTTTACCAGACAACCCTGTGATTTGACACTGTTTCTGAAGCACTACAAACTACTTATTTTCCCGCTTAGAAAAAGCAAACCTGTAAGTAATAACGTTGTCATATGACCATGTTCGTAATCAAATCTGATGAAGGAGAACACCTTCGAGGCACCAAGAAATTTACTCAAATTTGGAAATCCCTGTGCTATTCTTCAATGCTTTAAAGTACAAAATTTCTTAAAAATAGATACGCTGATATTGCCAAATTACACTCATACAAAATTTGTGAGGCTCTTAAATACCTCGAATAAGTATTTTTTTGAAATAAATAAATAAACTCGAAATACTTAAATGAATTTGCCTATGTTGCGGATGTTATCTGATTTTTCTCCGTTCAACGTCTGTTCAACAAATGACAGAGACCTGAAAATCTTCCATATGGACAAAGCCGTTGCAAAACTAGGCCATCTTGATTTTGCTTTTGCTTCTTCTGTGGGGCTTCTTCTTGAAAGGTGAACAACTCAACCTGCGCTTGAGAGGAAGTAATGTAGCTCGACGAGGTACCTTTCTTTTTGCTTTGGTATTACCTGCAATAAATACAAATATGAATAACAAAACTTCGGGTGAAATCGAACTAGATCTTAGCACTATGAAAACAATTTCATAAAGGAACACACGCCCAGTTATGTAAAACGAAGCATTTCACGACTGTGACAGAGTATATTTACCTGATGTAGATTGAAGCAAGATTTCGTGATTACTTTCAGCATCAGCTTTTCCGTGCTGTTGATCCTCCGTGGTCACATCCGGTGGTCCGCTATTTACAACTGGATTATGTTCAACTCTTACCGCATCAGATTCCAGTGGGGGAGCATGACCTGTGACTGCAGGTGGATCATGTTCGGGTTCCTCAAAATGTCCCTTATCTGTATACTGTTCATCCGGAGACAAATTAATAAAGGGCAAAGATGTGTCTTCATTTTTCATATCTAGGTCACTCGAATCTTCCTCCATCAGATCGTGACCTATTGCTTCCGGTGTTATACTAGAACTTCTCAAATTCTCTTCTTCACTAGGAGCATGAAGACAGCTATCTTTGGATGGAATGGAAGTCTCTTCTTTAGAATCAACATGAGAAGCATAATCCAACACAATGTCAGCCGTAAGTGTTCCTCTCTCATCTGGTAAACTAACATGTAATTCAGACTTGTTGACAGATTTCCGTGATTGTGAGTCCGGAACTTGCATTCTAATCATGTCAATATTCATAGTGGAGTGACTTAAATTATTTAATTCTGGCTCCGCAGTTGTTGTAGGAATTTCAATTTCCATAGCATCTGACAAAGCTTTTGTAGCACCACAAGTAATTAAAATCTGGGAATGTTGGTTTTCTAAGGCTTGAAGTTCAGATGGGACTTTGTCTACTGAAGTTAGACCTGGTTCAGGAACTACAATAGGGGAATGTTGATTTTCTAAGGCTTGAAGTTTAGATGGGACTCTGTCTACTGAAGTTAGACCTGTTTCAGGAAGACCAATCCTGTTGTGCCGTTCTAAATTACCATCACTTGAACCTGGCAATTTTGTCGGTTTACCAATAAGATCAACATATTCGCTATTCTCAGGTGCCTGGGGTGTGGCCTGAGTTCTAGATATCAAACTCTTGAACTGAAAGCCATGGGATGGCATGCTACCAATAATGGAATTAAAATCAATGGGTTTTGCTTTTTTTGACACTTCACTGGAAGCAGCAAAAGACTTCGCAAGATCATCTAAGAGTAAATCACCTTCACCACTAGAGATGGGATCCCAATTAAACAAATCGCTAGACCAAGATTTGGAGTCAGCTTGCTCTCCAGATGATATCAGTTCAACCTTGATGGTTTCTTTATGAAATTGTTTCTTCCTCAATGCTTTAGTTATAAGAGTCCTGCAATACATATAAATAGAACGTTTCCAGCTCATTAAACACTATGCCAACATGACTGTGAGGTATTTGTAAGTCATCATACCTACAATTTTTGGAGACAGCTGCTTTAGCTCGTTCCATAGAGAGCCCAAGTAAAGACGATAGGTTTGCGACATCATACGGTCCTCTCAATTCATACACAGAAGGCGCAGCACTAGAGATGATAAGATTCTTTCCTCGAGTCCAATCTACCAGTAACTGAAAGTTCAGCAGTGTAACACGTGAGATAATCAGACAAACACAGGCATAACTGATCTCAACTTCAAGTAAAGTCTAAAAGCTTATTACACTGCCCATTCTAAAAGGCATATTCATTATTTTCAAGTTTCAACTACAACATGATTCATGACAGTTACGTAGTCGGCCAACAGCTAAGGAATTCAACCATGGATATAGCCATGTAAAAAATTAAAACCATTTCTTACCAGTTTAAAGGTTCCTGTATATGCTTTGCTCTTTGAATGCTAATATGCAACACACCCCTAATTTGTAATAGTTTTCGAATGGCATTATTCATTACTCGCAACTATAGCATCCAAATTGATACTCATAGTACTACCAATAATTGATAATCCATGACCAAAATTCAGCCACGGAGACAGTCAAATCAAGATTAACCATTCTTAACGTTCTTGTAAATATAACTTATATGTTAAAATACATAAGACTATATTTCATCGTAATGTTATTCGTATAACCTGACCTTAGCATTTGCTATCATTTGCCTCCTTGATTGAATATCGGCAATGAGACCGGAATAGGTAATTTCGAAGTATATTCCACGCTGCAAATAAAATGGCAAATCTACATAAATTCCAAGCTTCAACATTTATGCCAAAAACTTTCTTGGGAAAATTTTCCTGTAAATTTTTTTACTTAATTTTTCTACTGTATGTGCTTGTTCAGTAAGGAACACAACCTCGATAGCAGTTTTGACCATGGACGGTTTCAACCGGAAAGGTAGCCTCTGTAAGAAGTCGATCGCAATCATATGTACCTATGTCAATTACGAATAAAACAAAATATATATATATATATGTATATCAACAAAATTTTCCCTTTCGTCTAAATTTTCCGAGCAACCAAACAGAACTTAAAAAATCCAACTGCAAACCTCCAATTTCTCACAGGCCTGGTCGAAGACAGTCTGGTTCATCGGCCTGACGGAGACCAAATCGTAGGTCTTCAAAATAGGGTTTCCGGAATTGAGAGCCTGGACCTGGGAGGGATTATCGGCGACGAGGGTGAGGCGCGTGTACTGGCGGAAAGGGGAGGCGCGTGGGACGCCGAGGAGGTCGCGGTGGAAGTTGACGGAGGAGGAGAGAGAGGGAGAGAGCTTGAGGAGAGAGGAGAAGGTGAGAAGGGGAATGGAGCAACGGTCGCGATCGGACATGACGCCCTTGATCGTACGGTTGTAGGCGACGCCGGAGTAGCCGAGCTCCATGGCCGTCGTCGCGAGGTTTATGCGTGTCGCCTTGTCGGACGGCGACGATTCCGAAAAAGGAATGTTGAGGTCGAAGAAAGCCATGGCGGTGCTATTGGCGGAACAGAGGGCGGTGTGGAATCTCAACAAAGGGTTTAAGGCTTGAGCAGCCACCGAGTGGCGAAGATGAATTGGAGGGGTTTTTACCTTTTAGTCCTTTTATTTGAAGTTTTGTTATTAAGTTGAAAGTGGCATGTCGTTTTAATAATTGCGGCATTATTATTATTATTATTATTATTATTATTTTAGAGTATGCAGAGCCAGAAAGTATCGATAAATAGATACGATCCAAATCCAGGAGTATCGGTGAAACTTTGGGTTGGTGGGCAGGTCTGAGGCTCAAATTTTTTAGACTCAGCATGTAGATTTATATATTGATCCGTTCAAAGTTGTAAATTAAGTTCGGGCTTGAGTAGCCCGAATTTAGTCACCACACCAGAGCCTGTTGCCGTGTGGCGCCGTCAATTGTCGTCCGCCGGAGTTTTTTTTAAATTTTTTCAGCCAAGCCTGATTTGTCCGAATTGCTCGAGAAACGGCCAAAATTTTGACCGTTAGTGCCCGACCCAAAAATAAGCATGAAACCCAAAATTTGCCCGAATGCCCGAAAATCCGTCCAACGGCTAGTTTTTTTACCGTTGTCACCCGAACCCGACCCGCCGAAACCCTAAAGTAGCCATTGCACCCGGAATTTTTTGAAAAAAAAAATCAATTTTTTTAACCAAACAATTTTCCTATAAATACCCCACATCCCCCACACATTTTTCTCACTCAAACTCTCTTAATCCCTCTCAATTTCTCTCAATCTCTCTCAATCTCTCTCAATCTCTCAAATCTCTATCACAATTTTTCTAAAAACTATCACATTATCCTAAAGCTCTCTCTCTCAAATCGCTCTTATTTTTTTATAATGAATCTTTTTGGTTATAGTGGTATTCCCGTTGATGCCCAACACAACGTGAAAGAATGGCAATTTTTCACTAATGAATTTGTTACGTAAGAATCTACTAATCCGAGCCCTGGTGGATGTACTGGAGGTCGTGGAGAAGCGGCGAGTGCCAATGTGACTGCGTCTGCAAGTGTTGCAACCTCTAGGAGGAAATGCAAGCGTACCTCGATAGTTTGGGATCATTTCGACATAATTGAGGAGATCGACAATGAAGGTAACACTAAACATATAGCTTAGTGTAAATATTGTTTATCTAAATTACAATGTGACACTATTCACGGCACCACACACTTGAGAATACACTCCGATAAATGTCTTCAAAAGCTTAGCCAATCCGGCGGATCCGAACTCCGCCAAAACACAATTATCTTTTGATCGCGCAACCGGTGGTCTAACCACTTGGAAATATGATCCGCAAGTAGATCGTATGGAAGTTGCACGAATGATAGCTGCTTTAGATCAACCACTTAGTTTTGTAGAGCATCCTAATTGACAATGATATATTAAGGGATGATCCAATCTTAAGAGTTCCTATCCATTCTATGGAAAATAAATTTATAAAATATTGGTCTAAGTTGTCTTTGTTGTATGGTTTAGGTACTATTTTTTATCCTATATTAAAATTAGAAGGTTTAGAAAGTGGTTTAGAAAATTTAGGTGAATTTTTAGGCATCAATTATTCGGACCAATATCCAATAATAAAGGAAAAAATATATTCGATCTATAGTAAATATGAGATTAGGTTTATAGTACCTCCTAGAGTACAGGAACCGCAACAACAAGACGAAAACCCGCATTCATTCTTGAATGTTTTCGGGTTGAAGAAAAAGAAGAAGACAACTCAAACATAAGCTGGGAGTGAATCTTTGTCAACAAGTGGTAGTGGTAGCGGCGGTGATAGCTTCAACGAGTTTATGGCGTACCTCAGTGAAGGCTTAGTAGTCGACGGTACGGCAGAATCGTTTGACTTAGTTCAATGGTGGAGGGCACATGCATTAACTTGGCCAATCCTAACTCGATTGGTAATGGATATATTTTCGATCCCAGTCTCCACTATTTCATCCGAACAAGCCTTCAGTACGACATGAAGAATACTTGAGGAACACCGGAATGCAAAGGGATATTGTTGAAGCCTTAGTTTGCATTAAGGATTGGGATCGGGCCGATCAACGTCTACAGGATACAATTTCGCCGACAAGCCAAGAATGGATTGATGAATTTAATTGATTAACATTTAATTTTGAAGACGATCCTTCAACTTCAAATTAAATTGTAAATTTGTAATTTATAAATATGTATTTACTTTTGACATTGTATTTGTAATTGAATAACTTTGTAATTTTGTAAAATTTGTAATTCGTCACAAAATGATTGCACTCTTTTTTCCTTGTCAAGTTTTTATCACAATTGAATTTTTCTTGGTAAGATTTTTAACGAGACAATCATGAATTATGAATTTAATATACATGATTAATTTATTCAATTGTGTTAATAATATCTGTTGAATGTTGATTTTAATTTTTATAAAATTTTAACACAAACTAACTTAATAATTATAAAAATTAAAAAATATTAAAAAAAATTCGGGCGGGCGGCCCAACTTTTTTAGACGGGTCGGGTCGGGCATCAGGTAAAAAATTGATATTTTCAGGTGGTCGCGGGTGGTCTATCCAAAATTCAAGCACCATGAGTTAAAAATTCAACCCTAAAATGCTTTTTCTATTTAAAGAGAAAATAATAATTATTATGTAATCTTAGGAAACAAAACAAACAGATTTATTTATGACGAGACACTTGATTTCTTTTACGAGACACTCGTAATTTTATTGATAAGACTTATCAATACAAATAGTTTTAAGATAGTACGTAGTAAATTCTTGGACACATTGCTTTGAACATTGTTGGTACTCTTCTTCCAACAATTGCTTTTCCACAACTATTATTCTTGCCTTTGCTCATCTGTTTTGAGAACTTCTACTAGCCATAGTAGACGCTTTGTTAAATGACAAATTTCATGCTAACAAACCAGTGTCAGCAGCTTCTAATTGCGGCAATTTCTTTCAAACGACACAAACATCACAAATGTAGTCCGTCATGTGAAAACGACATGTGCGAGCTAAGAAGGCAATGCAATTGTTTTATTTGACAATCTTCTTGTCGTTTGGAGACAGTCGTATGTTACCATTAGAGAAATCTTGACAAATTCTAAAGTGCATCTCTTAATTTTTACCTTTCTTGATTAATATTATTTTTAATCAAATAATTGTATTACAAATTGGTATTAATTAATAATAAGGGGTAAAATTCTAAACCTATATACTTTTAAGGTAAGTTTAGTAATATTATCTTATCCCATTACCCCATTACGATCAAAATTTCTATTTTTTTTTTTGGTTCAAGTTATATAAACATGCTATTTCTATCCATAGGTTTTATGGAAAATGCTATGTAATGCAATTTCTCCGACTTATACACAAATTAAGTCCAAATTTTTTTTGTTGAGCGCTACTTTTTTCTTTTTCTTTTTTTTTTTGAGTAAAGTTGAGCGTTACATTTGATTACCTTCTAGCAATTGAATGATAACGCACGAATTGATCCAAAGGGATTAATAAAGATTCCTTGCATTATTCTCTTTCTTATTCACTCAATTTTCGTTGGAACTCATGTGTGATTTTAAGTGAAAATAATTATATGTGACATGTTTATATGAATTAAATTGAAATATATATATTTTAAAATATTTTAAAAACCACAAGCTTATATAATGTTATTTGTAAATAGAATAATTTTTGTTGGGCTATAGTTCACCTGGGTTTAAGCCTCATTTGGATTGGACTACACTTGGGGTTTCAAAAGATATGGGCCTTGACGGACGAGCCAACCATCCCGCGCAACTTTTCACAACCAAAATCGAAACACGAAAACGGGATTTCATTCCCCCCCCCCCCAAAAAAAAAAAAACACACAAGAAAACCGCTAAAAAAAGATCCACCACGTCAGCGATCCGCACTCACCGAAATAATCCATCACAGCCGTCAAAGTAAAACCATCAACGGTTCAAAACCGCCCTCCAAAGCCTTCAACGGATCCATAAAATTTTTCCAAACTCAAACCCCAGCTATAAATACACAAATTCGCTACCCATCTTCAGAAGCAACAAAAAATCCCAGTCTCTCTCCTTTAAAAATCCAATCCATTTCGAAATTCCAGGTTTTCCCTCTGTTCTTCACTCTCCCCAAATCTTCTTCTCTGCAAATTGCAATCTGAAATTTGTTCTAATCTCTTCTGATTTCTCATTTCTGGTGCAGATTTGTGAGATCCAAAGGTGATCGACAATGTCGGGCCGTGGAAAGGGAGGCAAGGGTTTGGGCAAGGGAGGAGCCAAGCGTCACAGGAAGGTCCTCAGAGACAACATCCAGGGCATCACGAAGCCGGCGATTCGCCGTCTTGCTCGCAGAGGCGGTGTGAAGCGTATCAGCGGACTGATCTACGAGGAGACTAGAGGAGTTCTCAAGATCTTCTTGGAGAACGTGATCCGCGACGCCGTCACCTACACCGAGCACGCCAGGAGGAAGACCGTCACTGCCATGGACGTCGTTTACGCTCTCAAGAGGCAGGGCAGGACTCTCTACGGTTTCGGAGGTTAAGGTCCTTGTGCTGAAAAGTCTTGCTGTCAAGAAATTTTCGTCCGAGTTTGGGGATTTGGTGGGTGGGGTGTTAGTGTTTTGTAGCGTTCTGTGTTTGTAATTACTAGTTGCTATGTAGTTTGTTTGGGGGTGGGTAACGTTGTATCAGAAGTCTCTCTGTAGTTCAATCTCAGGATTGCAGCTGATTGTGAATTGAATTTGAATGCGTTTCGTTGGTACTAATTTCGATCTTCTTAAAAATGCTCTATCGTTTCTTCAATCTGGACGCCAGATTCAAAAGTTGATAATTCTGAATCTTACTTCTATCAGAGCTTTTCATTTTAGGTTTTTGCTATGACTCTTTGAATGTGGAATTAATTTTGTTATATGCCCAGACATTCAAGCGATTTAACACCAGGCACGGTGCTCGATAAAGTAAAGAACTTGCAAGTTTTATCCTTGAATGGGCTAAAGGTTTGAAAGTAAAGAGTAATCTATTAGTCAAATGATAGAAGTAACATGGTTCATCGTGCTGTTGAACTCGTGAAATAATGGAAGTTGGAAAAGAGTTGAAATGAAATGGATTCAAATACACTCACTTGTTACCTTCTTAGAGGACTCGGAACAGGATTTCAAAAGGAGGTTTGAAGAATGTACAGGATGTTTGAGCACTTGCTGCAAAAGTTTGGAAGGCGAGAGCATAAAAAACAACTTTAGGAAGGTCTATAGAAGTGTTTTCCACTATTGGTTGGTAGTGTGAGGCAGTTTTGGTGGTCTATTGTGGCTGGGATTTGGTCTTTGGATGGGCCAACAGTTTGTGAAGACGCGTGTCGCGGTTGTCCGAGGCGGTATGCTATTTTGTGACGATTTATGCTTCACTGATAGGTTTTGTAGATCGCAGGTCTTTTGAGTTGTTTAGGAGTTGTGCGGTACGAGTGGTAGTATCAAAATCTGATTTTTTTTAAATATATATATATTTATTAATCAAGTATTGATTAGGCTCTTGTATCAATTGTAAATATATATATATATTTATTAATCAAGTATTGATTAGGCTCTTGTATCAATTGATATAGAACAAAGAGAGAAGATGGAATTGAGGAAAATAATAAAAATAATAAAAAGGGTATCACTAGCTAAAAACTTAAAGAGAGCAAACAGAGATTCCATCTCATGAAAAAAACTAAAAAGGAGAATCTAATCAACTACCAAATTTTAGTTGAAATTACGTTCACTAGCTTAAATTTTACAGGAAAATATAACATATCAATAAAAGAACAATAACTTAGTAGTGAGAAATAAATTAAATATTAAATATCGAGTGTAAATAGACATAAATCTCAAATTCCAAATTATCTGTAACCTTATTCCACATCAAGCATATTTGCTTTAATGTGCCTGCATGTAAAACTTCGGTTGGTAAAGAAAAGCAGCTGCATCTAAGTGCAAATCCAATAATAACATTTAAAATGTAACTCGACAAAACATTAATTGTAAACGCATTTTAGTACAGTAGACATTTTGCCGAATTATAGGTAAAGTTCCCACTTCAAAGAAAGGGGAAAAAAGAATACCTTTGATCAACGATTTTAATGTGGAAAAAAGTCTGAATTATGTTTTTAACGAATCTAACTAAAGTCCAAATTAACCCTCACAAATTGAAAAGAATGAAGGTTATATAGCAGGACCCAGTTCAAAACCATGTTGAAACCCCCGAGGCTCTCTGCTTATATCAATCTTCTCCAATTAGAAGACGCTTGTAGCTCACTCTGCTTTGTGCTTTGACCCTCTCCTCGCTCTAGAATTCCTCAACCCGCTTGTACATCTGCCCACGAACTTGAGAATCTCATCGATAATTATTACTGGAAGTGCAACAATTAGCACCAAAAGCCATTCGTTTAGGCTGAGAGGAACAATGCCGAATACTTGCGCGAGGAACGGAACATAGAGGATCAGAAAGTGCAGGCCAAAGGAGATGGACATAGCCAAAAGGAGCCATGGGTTAACCCAAGGCGGCATTGTCAGTAGACTTCCATCCTCGGAAAGAGCATTAAGGGAATTGAACATCTCAATGGCCACCAAAACAGAGAGTGAGAGAGTTGAAGCTTTGATTTTGCCTGAGTGGAAGTACTCACAAGGATTTGCATCAAAATTGAAAACCTGGGACCCTGCTGTGAAGGGAGACGCTGAGAATCCCTCCCATGTATGGCACTGACCCCAGTTTGCAAGCTGAGAGTAGGACACAAGTGTATGGCCATCTCCACTCAGGTCAATGCCTAAAAATGAGCCATGTGTGAACCAGATGATGAACACACCAACTGTGGCTATCCCGACATAAAGCCCAATCACCTGTGACAGGTTGACGATGTATGGTTAAATATTTTGGTGGAAAGTCTGAGAAAATTCCGAAATGAATTACATCTTAAATGCGGCATATAAGATTTAGATGTTAGTACCAGGTAACGGAACAGAATCCAGGCGGTGATCAAGGAATCATCACTTCTTCTAGGGGGCTTTCTCATTATATCTGTGTCTGGAGGATTGAATCCCAAAGCTGTTGCTGGGGGTCCATCAGTGACAAGATTGACCCAGAGAAGCTGAACAGGAATCATGCCTTCTGGGATACCTAGAGCAGCAGTTAAAAATATCGAAGCAACTTCACCGATATTTGAGGAAATCATATACCTGCAGACAAAGTAGGCAAGGAAGGTGGGGTAGGGGAAACAAAATAAAATAGTATTAAATTGCTTTAAATATCTGATATCATTCTTCCCGAATGAATTTCTATAATTTCTAATGGAATTCGTCCCCAATGTCTATTGCCAAGCAAAGATCAGGATGAACTTTGACAATGGCCAAGAGAGTGAGGCGAATATAGCTAAGCTTTGATGATGTTTATTTGGTAATGTTTGAAATTGATACCTAGAAACAGCTAGATTTAGACGGCTACATTGAATATGAACTTGTTAAATTTTGATGGAGAAAAGCCAAACCTGATAAAAGCCTTCATGTTGTTGTAAATAGATCTTCCTTCACTAACAGCAGCAACTATCGTACTGAAATTATCATCCGCTAGCACCATGTCAGAGGCTTCCTTCGCAACCTGCAGTGGGGAAATAAGAAAAGATCAAAGCAAGAAACATGAACGCAAGCTCCCATCAATTTGGTGATCGATGACTATACTTCGATTCTGAGCATCAAGTGCACTTTTCAAGTTAAACACGGTGTACAAAGACAACCAAGAGTATAGTCAGGCCAAGAAACGAGATGAGACCGCACAGCTATGTATGGGAACACAGTAAAACACATTGCAATCTGATTTGATAAAAGTCTAACGGTTCTCTCATTAAAGCATTCAACACACAAAATAAACCAAATGTATAAAAAGAGGTAAATAATCATAGTTCGTTTACCTCTGTCCCAGCAATTCCCATAGCAATCCCAATATCAGCCAATTTCAACGCAGGTGCATCATTTACTCCATCACCAGTCATTGCAACTACTTCACCATCTTCTTTGAGCAACCTCACTATCTCTTGTTTATGTCTTGGTTCTGCCCTAGAGAACAAGAGCCCTCCACTTTGTCTTAAATGATTTTTCTGATCATGAACATCCATGAATTCTTTTCCAGTTAAGCTTCTTGAACTAATATCTTCAAATGGTCCAAAAACTCCAATCTCTCGGCAAATAGCTTCAGCAGTATTCTTATTATCTCCTGTGATAACCATCACACGAATTCCAGCAGCTCTGCAGTCCTCAATTGCTTGACGAACCTCTTTTCTAGGAGGGTCCTTTAAAATTCATAAGGAATACCCACCATTATTATACGCTCAATAATTGGAAAAAGGAAAAAAGGGAAAATACTAATAATAATAATAATAAAAATATGAAAAACAATTAGACACTGGGAAGCTCACCCTTATCCCAACAAAACCAACAAAAATAAGTTGACTCTCAATTGAAGCATAGTTTGATGGATTAAGTAGAAGCTGATGAGCTGGATGGTCTTCGTCGCCATTATAAGTTGCAAACTCGGGTAGGTCGTCCTTGTATGCAAAACCCAAACAACGTAATGCACTTGTTGACATTTCATTAAGGCTTTCTAATATTAGAGCTTTGGAATTTTGGTCCAATGCTATTATTGTACTATCAACCAACTGAATAAATGAGCTTCTCTCCAATAAATTTTCTACCGCACCCTGCCATGATTATTTCATCAAGTAGCTAGTCAAGAATGTATCATAGTCACAAAATGAGCAAAATAATTGGACGGAGAAGAAAAAATCAATAAAAGTAAAACATAATGAAAAGTATCGAAATGGCAACTCTTACAACTCAAATTGCATCAAAATACATGCACAAAATACATAGCCCGGTAAGATTGTAATTTTCAAAATGTGTAGTTGAAATTCCAGTTGAAAAGAAGTTTCACTTTCATGTTAAGCATTTGTAAGATGTTCCAAATATTTTTTCACAGCAAAGTGATTTTTTGCATAATAAACTAACGAGCTTCACGTTTGCAGAGAATTGGATAAATGTCCATTTTTTCTAACTGAAAGGCATTTTTCAATTAAAAAAAATTATATATTATAAATTGTACTACTACTATACTGCCAATCACTTCCGAGCCAGCATCACTAGTTAGACTAATGCTATTATAAATTGAACCACGTTCGTGTTTTTCTCTGAATCACTTTCAGAATGTCCTAATATCATCATCAGAGTATCCACAGGGAAGATTTTCACTCTACTTTGCCAATTTGGCATAATAAGGACATGGAGAAAAAAAAAAGAAAAATAAAACTAGCAAGAGAGAGGGGAAGAGAAATCCAAATAAGCGACAAGACAAAGAGAACGCACCTTGACAAGCAAGGACTTATTTCCTGATCTAGAACTCACAATGACTCCCATGGATTTACGATCATGGTCAAACTCAAGAGTTGCAATTCGAGCCTCAGTATTGTTCCATACTTGACAACAACCTTTAAAAAGGCAAGATTGCCAGAGTAAAATATATTAGCACCCAAAGAAAAGAAAGTATGAAAATTTCAAGACTAAAGCAGGAACGTACGTAGCACATCACCAAGGCCTGAAGTTGAACCAATATTCAACGCTTCAGGAAGTCCCATCTTTTCAACGAGAACCTGAAACAACAAAGAAAATAAATAAATATTTACTTATTGTGGTGTGAAGTTTCTTTAGAATTTTCTTACAATCAGTAATTTGTAAATAATGGACATCTACAAAGAAGACTGAGAAAACGAAGACAGTTCACCAAAGCAAAGCCAAAGCTAAGAAATACGACAATGTGATCCATAACAGTAAAAACATAACGCCGACTCCTCGTGATGAGGCAATTTAAGTGCTGTCTTAGAGGTTATACTGCAAGATGATGAATAAGATGACAGGCAGGGATATCATATAATACCAAGTACTGGATATAATCTAACATTTCTTTCCCTTGTGAAAGCTCTATCTGATTAAAAGAAGCTCTTAAAGATTAACTACAAATTCTAGTTTCTAGACTAACCAAAAAGTAGAAGAAAGGGGAAAATGGCAAGTGCTATTTCATTTCACCTTCAGAGCTGCCTCAGTTGGAAGTCCACTGGCTACATAATGATTCCCGGATTGTTCAATGCCGGCATCATTACACAATGCTGCAATCTTCGCAATCATTTGAAAATTAGCATCCATTCGGCCGGCGGGCCAATCTTGTATCTTCCCATCGAAAGGATTGTATGTTGTTCCTTCCACATTGAAGGCTCGGAGAGTACCAGCCCTAGAACCATTTGCCACAAGCTTCGACACAGCCATCTGATTTGTGGTCAAAGTACCTGTTTTATCAGAACAGATCACAGTTGTGCAACCAAGAGTCTCAACACTGGGCAACTTACGAACAAGTGCATTCTTTTGAGCCATCTTGCGCGTGCCAAGTGCCAAACATGTCGTGATAACCGCAGGCAAACCTTCCGGAATTGCCGCCACAGCCAATGCCACTGCAATCTCAAAGTAATAGGTACACTTCTCAAACGAGAACTTAAAATTCCTAGGCCACCCATCAACGTATTCCCAGCTGAGAAAGTACTTCACATTGATAAGCCAAACTAACGCACAAATCACACCGATTATCAACGTCAGAACCTCCCCAAATTCATTCAATTTCTTCTTCAATGGGGTGTCTTCCTCGTTCTGAGACGCTTCATGGATCTGCGAATGCACTTTCCCTATTTCCGAATTCATTCCCGTCTGAGTAACCAAGCAAATGCAATGCCCATTTACCACAGTCGTCCCCGCAAAGACCATACATTTCTTACCCTGAATATCAGAATTCTCCGGGACAACCTTAACAGTCTTGCTCACCGCTTCACTCTCTCCCGTCAATGACCCCTGCTCGACCCGAACCGTCGAGCTAATTAACCTCAAGACCCTCATATCCGCAGGCACCTTATCCCCAACCCTAAGCTCCACAATATCGCCAGGAACAAGCTCCTTGGCCGGCAAATTAGCCACTCTTTTACCATCGCGAATAACACTGGCGTGCTCAGATTGAATCTCCTTCAAAGCCTCCAGGGCCTTCTCGGCATTGCTCTCTTGCCAAATCCCCACAATCGCGTTCACGATCAAGATCAAAAAGATCACGAGCGGCTCCACGAACGCCGTTATCTCCATCTCGCCGCCCTCCTCGCCGTCGTACCAGGCGAGAACGAAGGAGATCACCGCGGCGACAAGGAGGATCCTCACCAGAGTGTCGTTGAACTGATCCAGAATCAGCTTGAAGATCGACTGACCCTCGTGCTTCTCCAATTCGTTCAATCCGTACTCCTTCCGCCGCCGATCCGCCTCTTCGGACGACAATCCGAACTCCTGATTCACCTGAAATCTCTCCTCGCATTCTCGAACGTCCTTCGACCACGCCGGGAAAACCCCCTCATCCAACGGCTCGCCGCCGCCCAAATTCTCCTTCTTCCCGTAGTTCTGGCCTCCCCTCCCCATCGAAATTCAGCTTCACTCCAAATCAAACAAATCTAAAAAAGACATAAATCCACAGAATCAAATGAAAATTTTTCCCAAACACGAAACCCTAACCGCCTGTTTGCCCACTAAGAAAACCGTAAAGAAAAGAAATGAAAAGAAAAAGGCAACAAAGCGAGAGAATCAGAACAGGCTTCAATATCTCACTGAAGCAACCGTCTTTGTAGAGTGTAAAGCAAAAATCGAAAAATCAAAAACATAAAAAACGAAGCTTTCAATCGATTACCAGATTTGTGTGCGCTTAAATCTTGTTTCTCGTCAAAGTCATGAAAGAGAGAGAGAGAGTGGATCCAAATGCTTCTTTGTTGTCAGGGAAGACAAATTTTATATTGGCGAGAGGGGAAAATGGGAGCGATTCAACTGCTTCGCACGCCTGCTATAATGCTCGTACACGCAACCGGATTCCATCAAGTTCAACCAATGATAACGCGCCACGTAATCGAAAAGGTTTAGAGATCGGCGCATGTGGGCCCCCAGAAAGTGTCCACGTGGATGATCTCTGCTTACTCGCTCCCATACTAAAAGCGGAGCATTATATGGCTGGTTGTGGTGGGGTTTCGACGTTTCGTGGTACTGTCGTTTTCTTTTTTTTTTTTTTTTTTTTTTTTTTTTTTTTTTTTTTTTTTTAATTGCTCTTTATTCGTTTTCTATTATTTTGTTTAGTTTCCATACGGAATATGCTTTTGGCGTATACTTTTTCTTTTAAAAAATATATTATTGAAGTTTCTTTGGTCATTACCTCGTGATTAAGAAAAGAGGCGGTTTTTCTTTTTTCCTTTTATTTTTTCTTTTTTTGCTACAGTTCCGCATATTCTGTTTATTTCCCGTTTATATGAAAATATTTCTGAATTCTCTCATAATCTTCTAAAGTTTCACTCCTTGCGGCCTTAGAATTTAGATCATCTAGGGAATGTTTAGAAAGAGAATTCGTACAATAATTTGAATTATAATTCATGATTCGTTACAGTATTTTTTTTTCACAAAAAATACATATAAAATAAAAATAATTTTAAATCATGATTCCGAATCGATAAATTAAACGTCCACGTGAACCATATTGCGATTGGTGTTGTTGCTAAATAGTAGAAGTTTGAAACGTCAAAAGCAAGACTTTCCTATGTCTGGCTCGCAAGAGAGTCGGTGAATTAGTGGCTTTTTAGGTGATTGATGAGACAATAAGCGAGGGTGGTCGAACATTCTAGCTACAACTTTAGAACTAGCTCGCGGGAAAGTGGCTTATAGTTATGACATAAAGTATAGTCTACAATAAACGCACTAATGCACCCAAAAAAAAAAGAAAAAAAAATCCTCTGGCTGCTTAGGATCCGTGTGGTTCACTATCAAGAAGAAACTCCACAGACTTCTGAGGTGTTTGATATGAGAATTCGTCTTATAGTTTGAATTATATCCTCTGGCTGCTTAGGATCCGTGTGGTTCACTATCAAGAAGAAACTCCGCAGACTTCTGAGGTGTTTGATATGAGAATTCGTCTTATAGTTTGAATTATAATTTGTGACTCGTTACAGTATTTTTTTCACAAAAAATATACGTAAATCGAGAATAATTCTGAATTCATGAACCAAACGTCCACGAAAGATTGAGGTATGAAGACCCTGACCAATTTCACGTGGCCTGCTTATCGAACATCAACAACGGAGACATCGTAAACTGGTCCACGAGCATCGCGATAACTCTTATGTCTCACTACAGTCACACATTTAAGTAAGTAATTTTGATTTGTTGAGAAAAATTTTGTGAGAGGAGAAATTTTTAAATTTAAACTTTTTGTGAGATGAAAAACACTGTAACAAAATTAAAATTATGAGTTTAAATAGAGTAACTAAATGGGACCTTAATTAATACATGAATCTTTTCCCGTAAAGCTTCTCTATCAATAGGATTAAATTTTAATCGTTAGATATGATTAAAATCACACCAAATTAAAAAAATATGCAAAACAAATAATTTCATATACAAATATAATTACTGAAAATAAAATCCTTTTAGTAGTTTATTTTTTCGGCACCTAAAGCTCATTATTATGTTCATAAATAATAGATTATTCATATTGTGCTTTTGGAGTGTTAAATTCCTATTGTAATCATAGGCAAACAATATGTAAATTCAATAGAATATTGTAAAAGAAATATAGGCCCGTTCATTTCACCGATTCGAGTTTAGAATTCAAGTTTTGTTACAGTAAAAAGCTTTAAAAAACAGTCACGTCTAACTTTTTTACTACAATAAATTTTTTTTTACATAAAGTCACATCTCAACTAGAATTACAAATTTAAATAAACGAATTAAACGGCCCCTAATGTTTAAAATTATATATGACTATTAGCTGGATAGACAGTCACGTCTAACTTTTTTACTACAATAAATTTTTTTTTACATAAAGTCACATCTCAACTAGAATTACAAATTTAAATAAACAAATTAAACGGCCCCTAATGTTTAAAATTATATATGACTATTAGCTGGATAATTTTACCCTAGAGTTGTCTTACAAAATCATGCTTTAGAATTGAAAGTTTTCTTTCCTACTACATGATAATGTTGTACCAACTTTTAGTTCTATTATCCGCACATAACTAGTTGGATCATGGTCAATGGTTCTATTTTTTCTTTAAATGTTTAATGCTATTTTGTAGTACTTCAATTTGGTTAATTCTTAAACCACACAAGAAGCATAGTATAGATGTTTTGTACCTTCGGTTAAATTTTTCATCTTTTAATTTTACCATGGAAGAGATTCATTGAAAAATTATTGGGCTTCTGATTATTTTGCCGGGACTTTGCATGTATTTGTTTTCTTTAATGTCCTTTTTGTTGTACTAGTAGCCTGCTTCACACTTTTGCAAGTTGAAGTGTCCTTTTCAGAGTTATTAACACAAATAATTTGAGTAACATCACGGAAACAAACCAAAAGAACGACATGTCAGACTTTCTTCCTAACAAGTAACAATAATCTCTCCATCTAAGCTCCAAAAAAGAAAAGAAAAGGAAAAAGAAAAGAAAAAAAAAAGAAAAAAAAAGAAAAAGAAGAAAAAAGAAAAAAGAAAAAAGAGAAAGGGAAAACTCAAAATGTGCTGCGTGTAGAAAGTTGATAGATTTAGGAGCCGTTTACTTTACTGATTCAAATTTTTAATTCGAGTTGAAATGTGATTTTATATAAGAGCTTTTTACTGTTGTAAAATGATTAAATGTGACTATTTCTAAAAAAATTTTACTGTAACAAACTCAAATTTTAAACTCAAATCGATAAAATAGACATGGCATTATTTCTTATTCAGTACAGACACATCTTCTCAGAGGGACAAAACATAACTCATAATATAAGAACCTTCTTCTAGTACATGTTTCTGATTCAAAGAAAACAATAAGTCCTATGGTAATCGGTAACCAGAATCACAAATCACAAAATTTTAAAAAAGAATAAAAAAAAATACTACATGCATCATTTAAGAAGTTCCCTCTTTCTCTTTTTTTTTTATTATTTTAATTATTTAGTGGTAGTAGTGAAAAGACCATCAATTTATTACTAGCTTTCACATAATATTCCATGCGTGCTAATTAATTTCAGCCGAAGGGGGACCGTTATAATTGTTTTCCCCAGCCTTATGACTTTCACAGGGTGACACCAGATATCCAATCCGTACATTGAAATCTTAGGGATTATTTTGTTAAGGGATTCGTATCTCAATTTAAATCATAATTCGTAATTTATTACAATATTTTTTTTCACAAAAAATATATATAAATTAAAAAATAATTATAATCTCATAATTTTAATTTATGAACCAAAACGTCTCTATTGCTAGTCATAGTCATGATCCCCAAGCCTCCCAGCTTTAACGCTATGCAAAACAAGGGCCCAATTATGGCTCCTTGTTTGTATCTAATCTACGTTAGGCTATGAATTCTCTCTATTTTGTTATATAAATAGCGAACTCACAATTTAAATATATTATTTTAAAATTTTTATCATTTATTTTTGATTAATACCTTTTAACTAATATAATTATTTAACTAAAATGTATTAATTAAGTATAAAACGTAAAAATTCAAGATTCATACATTTTGAGAGGTATTTGTCTCATTTTCTTTTTTTCTTTAAAATTTTCCATTCGAGGTAATTAATGTCAAATTGCTAAACTCACCCTTAAAAATATGTGTCTAATTTTTTACTTTTTACCCTCGATTAATATTTTTTTTTTATACAACATGAGATTTCAGCTATCATCCCAGTACCACTAGACTAAGAACTCTTAAACTTGATTAGTACATTTTTATAAATATAATTATTTGATTAAAAATGATAATAATTAAGAGTAACTGAGTAAGTATAAAAATCAACCACTTTCTTATTTGTCCAGATATCTCCTTTGAGTTTCGTCTCTGCCCACCTAATTATTTGGTGGGCTCAAGTTTGTCCCCCAACAAAGAATAGAGAGAAAGAGGAAAATAAGTCAAGATTTGAGTTGAATTAAAATTAATAGGTTCATAGTTTATATAAGTTAATAAATAGGCTAAATTATTGTTTTTATCCATAACTTGTCTGGTTATGAACCATAACCTGACAAGTTATTGTCCATAATTCACGGTTTTTGTCCATAACTTGTTTAGCTATGAACCATAACTTGTCTAGCTATGAATCATAACTTGATTAGTTTGTCCCTAACTTATCTGGTTATGAACCATAACTTGATAAATTATGACACATTAATTTCTATAATTAAAAATTAATCTATATATTTTCTTAAGCTTTTCATATTGACATATTTTTTATTATTTTCACAAAGAAAATGAGAATTTGGGTTGTTATAGGTACAGCGAGTCACTGTATTAATGGGCTACGACCCAAAAATGAAGGTGGAAGTGATACATAGCAATTTTTTCTTTTAAAACAATATTTTAGAAAAAACAAAATTTATATAGTAATTGTTATAATGATTTATACTATAAATTTACATGGGAATTATTCTAATGATATGTAATTTTTGCTATCTGTAAAATGTTTCAAAGTTTTGCTATATTTCAACATGACTAGCTGGTAAAATTTTTTGAAAGGACTAGCTAGTAAAATTTTACCATATGCTTAAAAGGCCTTTTACTTAATTTAATCCATTTTAAAAAAACCGAAAAAATCCTCCCACTTTGTACTTCAAAAAATTCTTACGGATTGCTGCCAAATCTTTTCCTTGATGCATCCCTAAAAAAGGATCTTTTTCTTTGATGTAAATATGAATTAAATAAACTAGAAAAACAAAAGAGTAGATTTGAACGTTTCTGAAGCATCTCAGTCAGTTGTTTTAAATAATTCACTCCGTGATGAAAAATAGATGGGAAAAATATTTCTTGATGCATGCAATTGTTCCATTTTCCACGTTTAATTTCATAGCCAGTTTTCTTACATATAGCACTCCTGATGCATAAAAATTTCGGGGTTTTAGCTTAAAAAAAGAAAAAGGTTTTGGTAGTCAAATAAGGTAAACAAAGAAATATTTTCATGATCTATAAATTGTTTCTGCCTACTAACAAAAAAAGAGAGAGACATTTTGTTTTCATCAAGCCTTTATAGATAAATGCTTTACAAATCTCTATTTTCTACAGTACTGTCTTCAAGAACTCATGTATCTTATATAGAAACTTTAAATTCTCAATAAAGCTATAGTATTTACAGGGAAAGAAAATAAACTTTTAATCAATTGCAGCTACAATTTTCGTCACCTCCAAATCCAAAGCCTTAATTTTATCATTACGTTTCCTAATACTATTATTGTAGGATAATTTATCAATCATACGTCTTGGAAAGCCGCTAATTTAGTTCGTTATGTACACAACAAAACAATACAAGAAGCTTCATAAAAAAATAAATGATGGATAATTAATTAGCATTACTAGTGCTAGATTTTGTACTGAAATTGGAGATGATTAATTAGAAAAGTGTACAACATATATCTTGAACAACTTTACCTTCTAATGTTAGTTGGCTCCAGTCGCTGTCTTGCCGATCGCGTCAGTTACAAAAGCAGGTTGTTGGTTTATATAGACAGATAAACGGGCCAGTGGTCGGAAAAGCAACGGGAAATGATTTTCCGTCTCCGTCCCCGTTCCCATCTCCACTTAAGAAGAGACGCAATCAGCATTGAGAATTCGTCGTTGGGAAAACATTCCTCATACCTATCTCATTCCCCCATCTAATATAATTACATTTAAAATTATACAATTTAAAACAAAAATGAAGTATAAATTTAAATAAAAATCAAATTAGGTTCTATAAAACAAACCACATGCAAATTAAACTTTTAGTAATAATGTCAAAAAACACTAATTTTGTTACATAATTATATTAAAAATAATATATGTATATCGGGACAAAGACGGGATATGGAGTACTTCTCCTGTCCTTAACCCGCCGTAATTTGGAGACAAAATTTTGTCGTCATCTCTGTCCTCATCCCCAATTATTATCTGCCATTCCTGCCTTGTTTCGGAACGGATCTCCGTTCCCGTGGGATTATTTTATGGCCATCTCTAGCCAGTGGACATATCTTTTCTAACAGATCATTGAGCTACACACACACGAATATAGCTTTAATATTAATGTTTAAAACGGATAAACTTTCTAGTATTAATTATGATAAAATCCTGATATCATTTCAGATTTTATCCAATTATTTGACAACTTAACAAACACATGCCCCATCTGGGAACTTATACTCTAATAATGAATCTTCACCACATTTCACTAATTAAACAAAAGTGCATTGATTATTTTATTATGCTACCGTTGATCCATATTCATCAAAACCAACTAATATCTAATTAAAGTATATTTTCTTCTTTCCTCCCAGAAAATCCTTTAATTTATGAGTCTCTATCCTGTACTCAAAGTCAATAAATGTTTACTTTAAAAAATTGAGAAAGTACAATGGAATTCATATACAGCAAAACCAAGAAAATTAACTTCTACACATTATCTATTAAACAATCCAACCGATGTTCGCACGCCAAAATGTTGACCTTCTTCGTGTTTGAAGCAAAGACAAGTAAAACTAACCATGTCAGGCTTTTATAACCGCTCTCGTTTCTTTGATGGTAAGCTTTATGTTAATATAGATTCCCTATAAATATAAAACCATGTATACCCCTCCTCATTCTCACATAACACAACACTACCAGCCGGTACTGGTTCCAATTACATACTATCCTAATCCCATGGCCTCCGGTGGCATAACGACCCGCAGTTTATGCGCTCACGCCAATATCCCTGCGCCGCTGATCCACGCGAACCTCTACAAGTGGCTGCGATTATTGGACGGTGATTTATCGAGTCTAGCAGGGTCCAAAGCGAACAATATCATCGTCAATACTTGTGGTGGAACTAGGGCGAGAGAGCAGCCTAAGGTGGTGGACAGTGTGTCCTGCAGGCAGATGTTCTTGAGGAGCTACACGTTTTCGAGGAAAGAGAGTTTCCCGGAGAAGACCAAGAAGCGTTTCGGCAAAATAGTTAGAGTCGGGGGATTGTTCCGGAGGATCACGGCTGCTAAGGATCATAAATATAAGCGGCAATCGGCGGCGAAGAGGAAAAGGAGCTGTTTGGTGGTCGTTAGGAGGGTGAAAGAGGCGTCTTCTGCAGCCTTGTCGTCCATGTGTCGACGCTTTCTGTTTTGCACTGCCAAGGTTGACGTATTGGCCCGCAGATCATATTAATGGAGATTTACGATGATCATGATTGATCTCATCATGTCCTTTTCTAATTTCTTCTTTCTTTTTTTGGTTTCTTTTTATTTGGCGTTACATCTGTGTGATCATGTGTTTTTTCTAATTCTGTGTCTGAATGAAGGTCTGGATGAAAAAGTGCGTTTGCAGGAAACATATAGGACATGTATATATATGGAGTATCTCTATTTCTCTTCAGCTATCTGCTCCTGAAACAATAGGAAATTATAAAGCATTATTTTTTTTTTCTGTGTGTTCTGTTTGGTGTGTCTTGAACCGATCGCATATTGTCCGTTCTTCTGTGTTTTTTTTTTTTGTTTTGTCTTTTGTTGCGTGTTTCTCTCTAACTATATGTTTTTTTTTGTCTTTTGACCAAATTATAAGCTCTAAAAAAGAATTTTAAATTTGATTAATTTTTTTATCAGCTAAAACGTGACCAAATTTAAAATTCTTTTTCAGAGTTTATAACTTGGTCATAAAAAAAAAAGGGACAATTTAGCTAGCTTATTTTCCTCTTCTCCTCTATATATCTCAATCTCAATAACTACTAAATAGCTTAGAGACGGGCATGGTTGAAATCAAGGAGTAATCGGTAAGAAAGGGTGCAAAAGATATATATGGGACCCCATATAAGATACCCGAGATCCTACTCCTTTAGAAACTTGTATGCCAAGCTTTGTTGGGTTCATCCACTGAACCACTGTACATGTATCTTTTTTTCTTGCTAGAACACTGTACATGTAACTTTCTTTCTGATTTATCACCCCCTAAAAAAAATATTTGTTTGGTCATCAACCCTTTGTACATTTGGAATTTTAAAATGACAAAATATTATGAGCATGTTTGTTTGACAGTATTAGAGCACTATATTATATAATAATACAATAATATAATATTTAATATGACTATTGTATTGTATAAATTAATATGGTATATGTCGTATTATTAAATATGACTCATTTTTAACGTATTATATTATATTATTTTATAGTGGATCAATAATTCATGTTAAGATTATGCACGATTAGAGGTCAAGGTTAGGTTGACATAGCGTCATACTAAAGCCTATAATTGTTGAAAAATTTAGGAGGCACATGCAAATTTATATTTATAAAAAATTACATTTAGACCCTAAAACTTTTATAAAATTATAATTTGACACTAAAGCTTTTATAAAATTACACTTTGACCTCAAATTTTTTTTATAAAATTTCATTTTGACCCTAAAACTTTTAAAAAATTATATTTTGGCCCTAAAATTACTAAAATTTTGCATTTTGACCCCTTATACAATACGCTATGACACTAAACATCGTATTGTATTATAATAATACAACACAATACAATACACCTTATACAATACAATATAAGCTACCAAACATGATTTATATGCCTAAATACGTGTAAAACCTAGGGCTGGTAATCTGGGTAGCGACACGACGACACGACTCGAAACCCGCACGAAATTAGCGGGTTTGAGTTTATCATAAATAGGTCTGGGTCAAAATCAGGTCGAACCTGTGAAACACGATTAAATAACGGGTCATTTTTAGGTTGACCTGCCAACCCGTAATTGACCCGCGATAATCCGTTTATTAAACGTGTCATATTTGGATAACATGATTATACAACCCGTTTATTACCCATTTATTACCTAGGTTAAAAATGTTTCAATATTAATATATTATTCATCTTCTAACCCTAATGGCCTAATTTTTATCTCCCCAGCCGCCCACATTCGAAGGAGAGCCAGCAAACCTTCTTCTCTTCTCCACTCTCTCTCAACTCTCCTCTCCACCGCTTCTCAGTCTCAGTCCTGGACCACCGCCTGACCTCAGTCCACCGGACCACCGCCTCACGCCAGTTTCTTCTTTTTCTTTCCTCTCCACTTGCCACCATTCCTCTCCGCTCGCCACCGTTCCTCTCCACACGCGACCGTTCCTCTCCACTCGCCACCGTTCCTCTCCACTCGACGCCTGTTTCTCCGCTACAAGCAAACAGGGTCACGGTAAAACCCATCCCCGTTCGTTCATTTCTTCCCTTTAGATTTCAGTTTACTTTTTTTTTCTTTTCCATAACTTTTCTTTCCTCGTCTTGGATTTCAGGTATTTCAGATTCAAAAATCAGAACACTTATTTTTGCTTGTTCTTCCTCGGAAACCGAAATGGGTATTTCAGATTTCAGTTGTTTTTGCTTGCACATCAAAACCTACAAACCCTTCTTCTCTTCTCCATCGTTCCTATGATTTCAATTTACTTACTTTTATGACTAGTTTTTAGTGTCAACTTAACAACCAGAGCTACAAGAACTGTGCATATGATAGTTGTGTAATGAAATTGGTTTAAGTTAACTTGGCTTTCTAGACTTATGGTTGTCTAACATTTTAAAATGTGATTTCACTCTTTTAATCTGTTGCTGTTCAATGTTTTTGAGTACATGCTATTGATTGTTTGAAATGTGATTTCACTCTGTGGATATTTGTGGTTATTTGAAGCATCTTGGAAACATGATCGTAGTCCTAATCTGAGACCGAATCTGTGATTTGCTGTATGCAGAAATGGTTATTTGTTGTGATGATCTGAGACTGTAGTCTTGATTAAGATTGATTAGGCTTAGTTTAAGTTTATGATATGATATAATTTGTCTTTGGAATATGCATAACCATGTGATAATATTCTGGTCCTATCCAAAAAATGGTTGATTTTGTTATTCAATTCTAAGTTGTATGACATGATTGAGGATAATATGTGAATGGAAGGAACAAACTTGTTTTGGGTAAAAAATGAAAAAACAACAACATAGAGAAATAAGATGGATCATTTGTTAGCAATTTCTTATTTGCAAAGGAATATCAGATTCCTTGGCATCATAAAATAGTAATTTTTGACCTAGTCCATTTCTAAGAATTCACACGGAGGAAGTGCTTGAGGCTTTGCTGGAAAACCAAGAAAGGTTTACAAGAGTGGCTTACACACACATATTCGGTAGAAGGTAGACTATGACCATTAATGTTGCTTTGTGCAGATTAATTGAAAACAATGGAAATTGATCTTGAGTCAATTGAGTCTCAAAGTGTGGATGTTGAGGTTGAAGAGATTGATGGATCGAGTTTTCATACCGAAACTCAAGGCGCTAATCTCCAGAAAAGAAAAGGGAAGCTGACCTCAAAAGTTTGGAGTCACTTTGTTCATCTTCCTTTGGGTCCGGACAAGAAATTGAAGGTGAAGTGCAAACATTGTAACTCTGTGTACCTTGCGGACAACAAGTACGGAACTGGTAATCTGAAACGCCATCTTGTGAATTGTCTGAAAACCTCATACTATGATATAGGGAAGATGCTCATTGCCCAAGAAGCTGGTGCAGTGACACTTAGTGGAGGTAAGTATGATCTCGAAAAATTTCGTGAGTTGGTTGTAACAGCTATAATCATGCATGATCTACCTTTTAGTTTTGTTGAATATGCGGGAATAAGGTTTCTATTTCAGTACTTGCACCCTCAAATTCAATTGGTCTCTAGAAATACTGCAAAGGCTTACGCTTTAAAGTTTTACAAGAAGGAAAAGTTTCGAATTAAATTGATGTTAGAGACTACTCCAGGTAGAATTAGCTTTACTTCTTATGCATGGACTTCTTTGACTAGTGATGGATATGTTTGTCTCACTGCGCATTTCATAGATAAGAATTGGAACTTGCAGAAAAAAGTGTTAAACTTTAGTTTTATGCCACCCCCACATAGTGGTGTTGCTTTGTCTGAAAAACTTTATGCTTTTTTGAGTGACTGGGGAATTGAGAACAAGGTGTTTAGTGCGACATTGGATAATGCTTATGCGAATGGTGTTTATGTTGACATGTTAAGAGAGCAACTAGTTGTGAAAGGGGTTCTTGTACACAATGGCGATCTATTTCACATGCGATGTTGTGCACACATACTAAATTTAGTTGTGCAAGAGAGTTTGAAGCAGATTGATGATTCAATTATTAAGATCCGTGATAGTGTCAAATATGTCAAGGGATCCCAAGTGAGGAAGTAAAAGTTCTTAGATTGTGTGAAGTTAGTTACAATTGGTGATAAGAAAGGGTTGTGTCAAGATGTACCAACTAGGTGGAACTCGACATATCTTATGCTTGAAAGTGCTCTTTACTATCGCCGTGTATTTCAACATTTAGAGTTGAGTGATTCAAACTACAATCATTGTCCTTCTAGTGCCGAGTGAGACAAAGTTGAAAAGATTAAAACTTTTTTGAAGTTGTTCTATGATGAAACTCTTAAATTTTCTGGAACAAAGTATCCCGCTGCCAACTTGTACTTCCCTTCCATTTGGCATTATTGCTTCATGTTGAAACAATATTCAGAAGGTGATGATGAGTACTTAAAGTATATGGTAACAGCAATGTGGGGAAAGTTTCAAAAGTATTGGTCTCAATTCCATCTTACCTTGGCTATAGCATGTGTTCTAGATCCTCATTTTAAGCTTGGGCTTGTTGAGTTCAGTTACAAAAAGCTTTATGGAGATGATTGTCTTGAATGCATATCAATGAGGAGTACATTGTACTCTATTTTTGAAGATTACAACAAAAAAAGAAGGATTCAACTAGCCAAAAGACCAATGCTTTTGAATCTTTTATGATGAAAAAAAGAAGGAAATGATGATGTGGATGTTATATTCAAGGTAATTTCTCTATTTATTAGTAATGCGGATGTTCTATGCTTATGTATGATTGTGTATTCTTATACTATCTCCTTCTCATTTTGTAAGAATTTGATGAGATGTCTTCAGTTTGAGTCTACTACCGCATCACAGAAATCAGAGCTTAACCTTTATTTGGATGAGCCAAGACTGGCTAGGACCGCGGATCTTGATATCCTTTCCTTTTGGAAATCAAACTAATTTTGATATCTAGCACTAGCTTCTATGGCTTGTGATATATTGGCTGTCCCTGTTTCTATAGTTGCTTCTGAAGCTACATTTAGTGTTGGTGGTAGAGTTCTT